TGTGTGTGTGTGTGTGTGTGTGTGTTAAAGTGTGACGGAATCGTGCCGGCCTGTTCCGGATCGTTCTGTCACAGTCCTGTGCTGACCTCCACAGCGGAGCCCTGGGGATCCTTCACAACAGATTTGGCATCTCATTTTCAGTACAGCAATGGCCGTCCCCTTGTATCTGTCAGCACAGTGCCCTCGTCTTTCCAGATCACATCTCTTCACCCTCCTTCTTATCTCCCTAAATCTCTCTTTGCCGGTGATAAAAAACAAACACGCCGAGTCGTCTCTATCGTGTCTTCTTCCTCTGCTGCTGTGTGTGTATCGCTGTTACTGCCCTGGAAGCTGAATCTATGCATAAGGACAAATAATGAAAAAAGGTAAAACAAAAACCTCCCTCTTACTCATTAAAATCCAACAATGGTCTGTTCATCCACATCCACTCAGGGCATGTGACATATTTTACAAACCAACCTTTACTGCACAATTACAGGACAAATAGCAACATTTATCTCTTGATTCCATTGTATAATATTTTCAAAACCACGATAAGTTGCTTGACGTTCAAAGAGCTGCACCAACTTCTTGTGGAGATCAAGTCAAGGGGGGTTGATCGGCGCAGATTGCAACAAACAATCCTCCATTGTGGTTGTATTCCTTCCACGTCTCTGTGCTTTTATTTGAACAGCATCATTTCCTCATGACCATCTTTCATGCCGTTACTCACAGCACATCGAACCGGGGGTTATTCGGCGATTCCCGTTGGTGCACTGCATCTCCCCTGGTTTGTGGATTTGCAGTGATAACAATTGTGATGCCTGGCCTGCGGTACGCCAGCCCAATCCCCCCGTCCTAAACCCCCAGCTTCATTGCGAGGAACAGACCGCTGACTTCCCTGAGAACACGACGACACTGACGATGACGCTCTCTTACCCCTCCACCACGCTGGTCCGCAGACTTCAAAGCGAAACCCCCCCCCAAAAGCAGAGCAAAGTGTGCTGTGTTTGTTCTCCCAGTATCTGTGACCATCAGGCTGATAGGGGTGAGGGCTGCTGCCGTCAATAGGCCCATTGTGCTCTGCCTCAGGTACTGGTCTTATCTTCATTACACGCAAACAAACACATAAACAGAGTCACATTTCTACAGAGGAGGAAGGACGTATGCGTGTTTTTGTCTTTGTTGTATAGCTATTTGCTTTAAAATAAATATCAGAAAAGAACACAAAAATGCCCTTCCACAAAAAAACTTGAAATCTAAGACGAGTGAAACAACACACAGCCACTGTGTTGTCTCATCTCTGGAGCCTTGAGGGGTTTAGCTGGGGTTTATTCAGACTCACAGTTTCCACTGGTAGATGGTGACAGGGGGGTTGGCGTCAGCTTTGCAGGTCAGCTTAACATCCTGACGGTTCAAGTACCAGTTTCCATCGAAGTCCTCGATCTTCACCTCAGGTTCATCTGAAAGGAAGGATAGCTAATGTGAGTTCATGATATCATCTGAATCGGGAGAAGCAAAGCAACAGTTTGGGCACCAGATCGTTACATCTTCCAAGGAGGGGATCTTTTCAACTGTTTGTTTTGTTGTTAACAGAATCACGATTTACACCAAACCTGGTGGCAAGATAGATCCTTGGAGGAACTCATTAAATTTAGGTGCGGATGTGGATCAAAAGGTCGTATTATGTCACTTTCTTTATGCCAAATAATCAAAACACTTCTTTCTTTATATTTCTACAATAAGAACGAGAAAATAATGTGTAGGATTGTTCAGCCTTGGAGGCGCTTTGCTGAAAGCCATTCCATTTATAGAACAGTAACGCTTTAAAAAACAACAATCGTTTCATTATTCTTAATGTATGTACACACTTTAAACCATATAAGCTTTGCTTCTATTTTACACTAATACTGACAACTACGATATAATGTAACCCACACGTGTGGGACAGATGTGAAAGAGAAGAAACTCTACCAAGAAAGAAGAAAACAAACGGACGTTATAGCAGAAAACGATTCATATCATCAATAATTATCATTATTAATACATTTCCTCACTATGTTCCTACAACCTATGAGGTTTATATTGATATATATTGGACTTTTGTTACATTGCTATGGATGAAAATTATATTGTGATAGTTATTGATATTATTTATGCCAAACCACTGATCTGCACAATGTCTGCACATTTTTAAGGAACATATTTCAGGATTCTAAATCAATTAAAACCTCTAAATAAATAAATCCATAATTTTCTACTTTTTGATGAAGTGATATTTTCATGTATCATTAATACAAAGTCTGGCGATTATTTGTTTAGGTTTCTCGTCCCTTTAGATAACTGGAAGTTTCTGAGCAGCTTAAGAAGAAGATCTTGATCTTGTTTTCAGTAAACGATGGGGACTTGTGTCCTTTTGCAACGTGTGGGTGCATGAGATCACAAAATCAAGATCAAAACAGGTTAAAAAAAAGACTGAACAACAAATCAGTACGAGAATGAAAAAAAAATGACTGTGTACTAAATCAGATTCTTACACTGCACGTTGAGCACCACGCTGTCTGTGATCCTCTCATTTCGATACGTCACGATACACGTCAGCTTCTGCTTGTGGGTCTCGCGGCTCGGCACCACCACATAGTTGCTCCGTACCGTCACCGTCCCGTTTTGGTTGCGGGTCTCCTGGAAAGTGGCCTCACCCTTCAACCTGGTGTCCCATTTGATCACGCTCGGTGGCTTGCCATTGGCTGACACGCAGGTGGCGACGGTCATTTTGCGTTTCTGAGCCCTGGCAACAATCGTGGGCGTTGTCAAGGTCATACGCGTCATGGGCCGAGCTGTTGAGAAGAAATGTTAAAGAAATGCAATTATTGAAAAGTAATTAAAACTCATGTCTTATCTTTTCCACTTCCTCTAAGATCAGTCTTGGATTTGATCGAAACTTCTGTTCGAAGTAAACAAAAATAAGCAACAAAGATGAAAAGTGTGACTCAAATGAGGCGAAGTTTAGTTTCTTCTCCTCCTCAAAGCCGACGCAGTTGTCAAAGCTCTCACACGTGTAGAACCCACTTGGCTACCCAAAAGCACAGTCATCCAATTTGAATCCTTTGTGAGTTGCCAATTAACAATCTGCTCTCAGTACATCAAAAGGCAGGCACGAGTGAATGCACAACTGAACGAAATAGACGATGAAGAGGCCTCTTTGAACGCTGCCGCTCGGTTATCTGCACACAGGTTCATGACGCTCACTGAGCCGCAGAAGCCTAAAAAGGGCCTGAGAGGCTCAGTGACAGATACTGGGGACTCGGAGCAGACGAGGAGCTCTGGCAACACTGAGCACTTAAGCCAAGTGGCTTTTCTTTACTGGGATTTAATGGAAAACACACCAACACTTAATGTCTAATTACATCTCTAATCAGAATCAGTGCACAACCTTTTCAAAACTGCCTCTTTCCAAGACAAACGACATCTCAGGGCCCTGCTTTCTTTACACGAGACAAGATTATTCAAGCCAAATTACACACTCTGAAGTGGCCTTATTGATTTCTGTCTCACCTGCCATTTTTATTGACCGCTCTCTGCCGCGGTTTCCTATTTTATCGGTGCCATGTGGGTTCAACTGGGATTGGAGTTAAACGGCATGTCACCCCAATCATCATATCAGCAATCCGTCAAAATGATTTTCATTTGGACGCTGAGCATGTGAGGTCCGTGATGGAACAAGAACATCAGCCGTCGAGTGTAGCGTGGAGCCACGGCACTTTTAAGTGTAAACAGCACATTTGTAATGTAGAGCTAAATCAGAGAAAAGGCCCCCTGGTTTCACCCTCCATTACAACAGAGCCTGTGGCTACACTGACTGCTCAGGTGTTTCCTTTTAGTCCTTCAATAAAAAAGGAAGATGTCAGTTTGACCTCGTCTTATCAGATTCAGAAAAATGTTCTTTTTTTCGGCCTACAGTCAAATTCAGGTGACAGGTTTACATCCCTCTGACTGTTCATCAGGCATGTGCCAACATGTCAGAGGAAAATAGCTCCAAGCTCTAAGATGTAGAACCTGATATTTTTTAACTTTATCTCGGCTCAAAACACAATTACACACGATTCACTCACTGCAACAATCTGATCAGTAGATTATGTACATGTTACAGGCAGAAACTGAGGCACATAATACTGAGTGCAAATACATCAGACTGTGGCCCTAAATGTAGATGCTGATTTTACAGTCTCTGTCCAGTAAAGGAAAAGAAAAAAAATGCATCTCCTAATTTGTTGGAGATGTTTGAAAAAGAAAATTTGACATTCCAGCGATGCATTTTTTTTTCATAGGCAAATGTCTAATAAAAGTTGCCTCAAATGCTGATGGGACTTGTAAAGGATCAATCTTTGAAGATGATAACGATTTAAGGAAGACAACAATTCTGTTTGGGCCAAAAACACATAAGAAATCTATGCTGAGGGTTTAACCACTGCCTCCACAGAGATAAATGAGACCTCAATAAATAAACTACAAACTACATGACAAATAAAAAGAACTAAAGTTAAATGTGTAAGATTTTGAATAGTATTTTAACATTTCCCTATATATCTACATGTTCTTACCAAACACGGTGAGGTTGACCATGTTCTCCCGGTTGCCCGCAGGAAACGTGGTGTACTCGCAGATGTAGGCAGCTTCGTCAGACAGCTGCAGGTTGGAGAATACGATGGTGGTGTCCTCCAGCGAGGGCGTGCGATGACGCACCGCGGCCTGCTTGAAGCTGACCCGCTCCTTAAAGGGAGGCAGGACGGACACGCCGAGCGCCGGGTTGGCTATGGCCACGTTCTGCTTGGTGCCGTTGAGGAGCTTCTGCCAGGTGACCTGAGAGATCTTGACCGGCGGGTTGCTGTTGATGAAGATGCAGCGCAGCTCCACTTGTGAACCCACGAAGCCGGACTTACTGGAGTCCATCTGTACCATCTGCCCATTGCCAGCTAGAAGTCACACACACACACACACACAGAGAGAGGGAGGGGAAAAAGAAAACATTTAATTACGATTAACAGGTGTCGAGGCCAAGCAAAGCACTCCATTCAATAGCAAGTACATGCACTGAAAGTCAAGGAGTCAATTCAGCCTCCTAAGTAGTGCATGCACGCACAACACTTGTAGTCAGTTCACAGGATTTGGCCGCACACTCGCCTTATGCTACATCTGCTCCCTATACATCAGAGTAGAAAGTTGGTACATGGTGATGGTTGTGTGCGAAAGCTGTGGGAGTAGTTATTAACATAATGGCCACATCCATACAACCCTGTCTTTGTCACCGAGGGTGCTGTTTCTGATGAGATGGGAGGGCCGAGCGAGAACCAATGCATCACTAATGAATGAGTACAAGGGCAGCGAGTTGGAACCAAGGCATCGTCTGCTGTGTTCCCCTCCACCTACCCAGCAACACACTGGCTAGGGCCATTGTCATTTTAATTACATTTTACTCTCAAATACTTCAACGACAGCCTGGAGCTCCTATTAAAAGAAACAATGTGGAGGCCTGTGTACGCACACAAACACAATGGGAACACACACATTAGCTTCATAAAAAAAACTCTAATTATGTCGCTCTCTCTGGTATCTGAGCCTGAGAGGAATTTGGTTGCCCAAAAAAGGGTCAATTAGCAAAGACGGACCCTCTGTAAACTCGCCTGTGGTTCAGTCTTTCATGCTGATGATGACCTTATGCTAAACTGAAGTGTCGCCTCCCTCCTCTCTCAGGCCCATCTGCTTTCCACTTGATGCATGGTATGGCCACAGATTAGCAGTTAACACCTTTCAATTAGATACTAATTGAAAACCACCCAGCTTTTATGTGGAACTGAAGAACTGACAGTGATTTTGATCATCCATTTATAACTTCAGGCATTTATAAAGTAAATATAACAACTAGTTTTCACATTTGAGAAGCCGCTTCTCTCTGTTTTAGATCATCCATCCAACATCTATACTGCTTATCCTTTGAGGGGCAGGGGGGCCGGTAACAAATCCCTGCGGGATACACCCTGGACAGGTCGCTCACATTCACACCTACAGTCAATTTTAGAGTCTCCAAAGAACACACTCTCCAGTCTTTGGACTTTGGGAGGAAGCCAGAGAACCTGGAGAAAACCCATGCAGACACAAGGGGAGTCTCCGACCCTGACTAAAACCTGAGACACTATTGCTGCGCTGCCCTGTTTTTAAACATTGTAAACTGATTCTTTGGCAGTTTTATTCTGTTCAACATTTGAAAATGTAAAACTTGCCTCTGTGAAACTGAGATAAGAAAGCTATTTTCTGACTAAGTAATTACTTGCTTCATCAAAAAACAAATAGCAGAATTGATTGATGAAGGCATAAAATAAGAGATCCAGCTCTCCGTGCTGCCTTTCTATTTTATGACTTCAATATAAGTCCTAGTGAGTCTTAAGTGTAACTTTCATAGACTTCTGCTCCTGGGGTCTAAAATATCTGCAGTCTGAACAGACGTGTCACTGAGCGGCTGCAGGGCTCCTGCATCCTGTTGTCTTTGACACATCTTTGTTATCTCAGGCTGTGATTTATGTTCCTTTCCAGGTGAACTCTGATGACGTCCCGTTTCCTGGACCGACAGCCCACCGACTGCACTTGTATTTACAAGCAGCTGCAGCTATAATGATCTCCTATGCACAGGAAGACAGACTGAAGTTCCTCCGTTAATCACACCGGAGTCATAAAGCCACCAGTAAATCAAGTCATATAAACGGAGAGGAAATAGGTTGCTGCCCCGAGTGGAGGAGCGGGCGCTGCATGCATGCACCACAAACAGAGCAGCTCTTTAACCCTGAGTAACTGCGTCTCAATGATGAAGAATCCCTGCATTCAGAGATAAAAATTCCACAGGGGGCTTTAAAATGTGTAAGAACACATGAGAGGGATCCATTTATGTATACACCCGCTGAATACAATATCTGATGGAGTCTATCTTCTGCTTTAGAGGAAACTGAGAAGGGGGAGCGGTGTGTGCGTGCTGGCTGTCAAAGTGCCTGAGCAGCAGAGTGTTGTGAAGATTTTCCTCATAAAAAACGGAGGTAGTCAGCCGAAGGACATTGGGGCACAACACATGCATGAAGACGGGAAATAGTCGGAGGAGATTTTAACTGGAGGACCATTAAGATGAACAATGTATGTCTCTCTGTCTCTCACAGTGGGTGCTCTCAGGTTGAATGGCTTACGCTGGAAAAGCAGAGCATTACGAGAGAAAGGTTATTTCTATCCACGGTTATCTGCTTTCACTCAGCCTTCACCGCCGACATCAAATCCCATAAAAAAACAAAGTGACAACCTCTTGCAGTTGCTGAGTGCACATCATCTTTCATTTCCTTCTGACCACATTGCCAGGACCTTACTCTTATAGAGATTTAAACTTGTGGGATTCGAAGATGACAGATTGATTTGCTAATGCAGTTTGACAGGGAGGACTGGCAACCTTGTCATCCGCACCCTGAGAAACACCTGTGTCCTTGTGCACCTCGGGGCAAAGCTTTACCCCATTTTATCCCAGCTTAGATTAGCAGTTGTGGCAGCTATAGGATGATATGATTTGAAATAGCAAACACAATTTACTGTGTGACAACACTAGTTAAAGTTTAATCTTAAATTTAAGGGGAAGTGAGGGGCTGTAAAAACTCATAAATATGTACCTGTCTAGACCTCCCCCCCTGCTTGAATGCTAAAACAATACTGGCAGGGCCTGGTTTTATGAAAAGCTGCAGCTCCTCCCTGCATTTCTGTCTATACCCCTTCCTCCTTTGAATCTGATGCTCCCCTCTCTGATTGAACCAAATAAACAGCAGCTCGCACAAATGGAAACCAGAGGAGTAGGCATAATTACGCAGCCACAGAGCCTCTCCGCAAAGGACCAGGGGCACCCACGGGGACCCCTTTCATTCAAGGACTGGAGGAGACCTTGGCTGAGTGCACAGTAAAGCTTTAATTACAGACTACACCACAGAGCAGCGAAGGCAGAGGAGAACAGAGCTGCGTACATGCAAGAGGCATTAAGGAGGTAGATTTTGTGGGGCCAGCGATACAGAAGGAGAGGTGGAAAACAGAGAGAAGGGAAAAGAAAGGCAAATGCAGTGCAGATGCAGAACTGGCGAGCGGGAGAGCGAGACAAAGAGGGAGGCGGGGCTTTCGGGAGATTTGTAGGTGTGCTGTGGGTTTGAGGCTGGCCGCTGTCGTAGCTCGAGCTGCTGCTGCTTTGTTCTCCCACTGACAAGAGGGTGACTGAGGGGGCAGACATGCTATAATACACCTGAGGCTACACATTACCTTGAGAGTTGCCAACGGAGAGAAAGGAGCCCTTATTTCTGGATGGAAAAACAACACGAACAAACAAAGTGTGCCCGAGCTGGCAGGATATAAAAAATGAAGGAAGTGCGGTTTGATTCGCACCAGGTGAGCTGACTTGGATGGAGAGGGACATAAGGGGCAGTATTAAAACAGCTGCTGTACCGTCTGGCCCTGCACTGATAGTGAGAGACTCCCAGGGCCTCGGTACAGGACTGTTTACAGAACTGTAATATGATCCGGCTCGTCAGGCAGCGAGGAAAAGCATGTGCTTTGTGTTGTTTGCATATGGCGCTCCGGACAATGCATGATGCACACTGCACCCAATAACAGCCTTCAGTCTAATGGCCTCCCCATGTTCTGCAGACAATTTCCAGGGAAAAATACAGAGTTTTTTAGGAGGTAAAACAAATATGAAAAAAGAGCAAGTCTGATTTCTCTTGATAAGAAATCAAAAATAAATGAGAAATTAAAGTTTCAACAACAAATACATGACTTGTTTTCATCTCTTTGTTCCCAGATATTCTTCTGATCATGTTAAACCATACTCTACTCGTCATATAAAAGAATAAAACACCATAAATCCCTAAATTGAAAACCAGGGCGCCATCTCCTAAAGCCTAGGAAGCTTCTTTTCCATAAAACAACTGCGATTTGGCAGCTCATCCCGTAATGGATATGTAATGCTATTGACTTTTTTTTTTCTTTTTTTGCAGCTGAACTGGCCAACAACCAACACTATTTCAAAAGACAATTATTGGCTCGTTTAGCATTACTTTGGCCCAAGAAATATCCACTTGAGCCTGAGTCAAACAAAGTTCAGCATTATTCACCTCTTGCTGCAGCAACGTGAGAAAGGCAAAGATTAAATAGGACTGAATGCATATTTTAGAAGAAGCACTCATTAATGTCTTCTATTTAAAGCTGCACCGGGCAACTTGGCTCACTGTCAGTCCCAAATGGCAGCTCGGCATCGCTGTTTGAAGTCAGGAAACTTCAAAACCCCAGAAAATGAGCAATGTGATGCCATTAAACTGCACTCCTCTTGGACTTAAATGTCGTCCTCTCTGTGGCTTTTTGGGGCAGAGATGAAGAGGAGCTTCTTCTTTTTTTCACTGGACCAGGCGCTCACTAGAAAGGCAAGACTTTGCACTTAAAGGGAAAGTTTTGTCATATCTGACATCAGTGGCATTCATTACCACCGTAACGTCACCCGTTGGTTTGTGAACTGTGGTTTGTGAAGCTGAACCAGAGTTTGGCATTTTGTCCAGCACTATCTCTAAACCAGAAGTAACCATATTAGGAGAAGTGGGAGGGGGTTGTAGCCTGACTGAGAGTTTGCCATCTTGCACCAGAAACCTGCACCCGAACTGTCGATCACATAGTTTCCAACGCCCCACTTCATACAGTCCTTTATCATCATACATCATACGTAATTCACAAATTGGACATCATGTTGTATTGAAGAAGTGAAACTAGAGGTCGAGATCATAAACTCTATGAAAATGTTACTGTTCTGATTGAAATAAGTCACCTTTAAATATTTGTTAATAATTAGCTAATAATTTGTTTTCTTACTGTCAAACAAATTGCTTGTTTTCAGTAATGTTCCAAATAATCTTGTACTGTT